CTTATCTCATTTGCAAGCCGCGATGCAATAAGCGCTCCCATTAGCTCCAATCTAGGTAAAGTTATTGATCTTTTAATTGGCGCTACTCTACTTTTGGCCATAACCAGCCTAATCGTAACTTTACTTTTGCATTCGGTCCGAAGAAAGACGCAACCTGCATAAGCATTAATAGATGCGTCACAAAACAAATGTAAACTTTTGTTACAGTTCGTCAACCTCTCCTCTGATAAGCGTCTCGGCAACTTGCAATCATTTATCAGATGAACATGATTTAGCCAACTCTTAAATTCCTTCGATAACTCGTTGCTGATAGCTTGATCCCAACCTGTACTATCTATCCAAGCCTTTTGTACTATTAGTTTAGGCACTAGGGTAACAGGTGCAAGAAACCCAATAGGGTCAAATATCTGCTGAGTTAATGACAAAAGATCTCTCTTCGTGACCCGATCTGGTATAGTGCTACTAAGACGGAAACTACACTGTAATTCGTCCGTAAGAGTATTCCATAGCACTCCTAATACAGATTGAGTCTGGATAGTGTTATCTACTCTAATAGGAGCGGTAACCCAACATCGTAAATCAAAACCCCCCTTTAGCATAACTTCCTTAGCTTCGTCTATAAAAGTAAATAAAGCCTCTTTTGTATCAAAACTAGCTACACAATTATCAACATAAAAGGAGTGTTTCAAAATTTCAACTGTCTGACCGTACATTCTTTCAAAATTGCCTAAGTGATAATTAATCGTAGCCGCCAAGAGAAACGGACTACAAGTCACCCCAAATACTACTCTCTTATGTCTGAAAGTGACTATCTTCTCTTTGGTCAACGGATTCTCCCACCACAGAAACTTTAAATACTCTCTATCTTTCTCTGAAACTAAAATTTGCAGAAAGGCTTGCTTTATATCCGACGTGACGCCGTACGTACCTTTCCTAAAGTTCATCAATAATTTAGGGATTAGTTCTATAAGATTGGTACCCGATTCGATGCAGTTATTCAAAGACAATCCTTGCGCATCTTTACACGATGCGTCGAATACTGGACGTATCTTCGTTGTAGTCCTAGACATCTTAATGACTGCGTGCTGAGGAATAAAGTGTCCTTCTGCTATATTGTTTTCAGTATGTTCTATAATATCTTCGTCTAACCAATTCTGAAAAACATCGTTATAACTTAGCAAATGACCAGTCCTCTCTAACTTCCTAGTCGTCGTTAAAAGTCTTTTATAAGCTACATTGTAATTACTGCCTATTTCGGGGTAACCATCTTTCCACAAAAACCCTACTTGGTAACAATTGTCTTTAAAACTAATATTCTGCTCAAATTGACTCATTACCTCTTCTTTTTTCCTATCTTTGCACATCTGTTCATGTGGCTCTGAAATCCCTAATATCTCTAAATCCCACAAATCTGAAAGTTTACTCTGAGCGTGACAATTGAAAGTCATTGAGCATTGTGCAGCACTATAAAAGTTAGGGCCCTGTAATGTCCATCCTAGCCTCGTCTTAATAGCTGCTAAAGGCCCATCTAATTGTACAATAGTGCCCGTACAAATTGCTCCTAAATAATCAGCTCCTATTAACATATTTACATCGCTAAGGTCACAGTCACTGTCGTCAATACTTATATTCAGTGACTTTAACTTTGACCTTAGCTTGGGATCGTCTGCTTTGCGAAGATAGCCACAAATGTCGTCGAGTTCAAGAGCAATGAATTTTGTAGAGAAAGAAGAATCTAGACTACTTACATTCACTTCGACAAGACTGTGGTTTTCTGCTGGCTTAGTAACACCACTAAATAGTGAATAACCTAAATTCTCTATACCTACTACCTTAAGGCCTAACTCTTTTACTACGTTTTTCCTAATATACGACCTTTGCGATCCAGTATCACACAGAGCACGTATTTTCTTCTTTTTACCCTCATGTGAAACCTCTAAAATCAAAGTCTGTAATAAAATATTTCCGCCTTTCCTAGAGAAAAGTGCTGTCGCTTCTTTGGGTTCCTTTTGTTTATACCTATGAAGGTCCGGACAAAATATCATTACATGACGTTTACCGCAGGCCATACATTTTAAAAACGTCTTGCAGTGCTTAGCTACGTGACCTTTACGTAAACAAATTAAACAACCCCTCTTATCTTTGACAGCGGCTCTCTTTTCATCTAAAGACATTTTGAGCCCTTTATTACATTGAAGAATCGAATGAGACGTATTATCACAAAAATAGCAAAAGTCATTACCTGTTTTACTGGAACTTGTCTCCTCTTTCGAAACGATGCAAGCTGCTGTCGGCGGCATATCAACACTGCTGGAAGAACTATAAGTATTAAAGTTAGCGCGCGTCAATTTAATGTGTTCCTCAGCCTCGGCTTCTCGTTTTAAGAACTCTAAAAGTTGCGTTAATTGACCAACATCGTTTACAATTCTAGTTCGATTCCAAACAATTAAAATATTTTCAGGTAAAGCTGATTCGACTAATGGATACAACATCGCTCCGTACTTTTCCGTTGTTACTTTGAGTGACTCTAAAGCGTGCAAATGGGTCATCAACTGGTCGTAAAGCGATCTTATATCCATATTTTGTCCCTTAGCCTGACATAATACGAGACCTAGCAGCTCTCTCACATACGTCTCGATGAGGATACCTTCTCGAGCAAATCGTCCCTGTAGCTGCTCCAGCGCTCTTGGGTAATTCTTGCCAGACGGAGGGTAGCTAGTTACGAGCTCTCTGCTTTTGGACCCCTCCTTCATAGCCTGTATGAGATACTGGAACTTATCTTCTGGTTCAAGAGTCTCGTCCTCGTGTATCTTTTTGAACTGTCCCCAGAAAGATAACCACGTCTTCGGATTGTCATCGAATTTTATGAGCTCGATATTCGGTAGCTTTATGTTTCTCTTCTGATGAGATCCGTCAGTAGCCGCTGAAGATGTATTTGCTCTATCACATTCCTTTAGTAATTTTTCAATCTTAACTTTTACTGCATAATACTTCCTTAAATACGATTCGCATTCGTCACATTCTTCATCAAATTGCTCATCCGTGCAAGAATCGATCGTCATATTTTTTATTTGACTGTCAAAAGATTTTAACTCTTCCAATTTCTCTACAAGATACTGAAATTCGACAGTCATCTGCTCAATATCATTCGACTCCTCTATCTCTCCCACTGACCTGATGAATACTCGACGTGTGTATGCCCTTTTACGCCTCATAGCGTCGAGTTCGGTTTGTCCAGGTCTATCCGCTTTCACGGTCGCCATTATGTGGGGAGTTTCTGTATGACCGTTGTATGTAGCTCCTCATATTGAAATAAGAAGATTTCTTAGACTTGAAACATTTAATCTTCTAACAAAAATATACTTATTACGAAAAACTAGTCTTACATTTTTCTTGTTATTTTTTTGTAACCATGACAACAACTTACAAGATATAAAAAAAAACCTAAAAGGGCCGTAGACAATATTTATTTATCCTCAACAGCTATAGTGCGCAGTCAAAGAATATTTTAAAAGTCTCTTTATTTTTATTATTTGTTTATAACTGAATAGGTTTAAACTAAAATAGCTGTGTAGTGATGGTAAGATAATCTACCATCGCTTTTTGTCTCGAGGGTACTTTAAGTCGTGACTGTAGGAAATTTATTTCCTGTGATGTTGGTGCTGTTAACCTATACGGCCATTGCAGCTTCATCTGACACAGGGCTTTTTAAAAAAGGAAAGGATATTTTTGTTGAGGATAATGATGAGCATGATGATGATGATGGTTTATGATTTGGTATTGTTAGTGATCATCATGTCCCCTTTGTTGAGATTTTTTGAGCTATCTAACCGCTGCCAAGTGGGGGAGCGCGGACCCCCGCCTCTGATTGCTTAGCTCGTGTCGGTTGATGTTCTGGGTGGTGAGAATCACTCAGGTAGGTGGGTGTACGGTGTGTACGCGGTGTATGCTGGAACGTGTCGTGCCCGCCTACGGGTGTGACGCGCCCCATTCCTTATCCTATTTGTGCTTGTCCCATTTGGTGTGGGTGTGGTGTCAAGTGTCCCGGGATCGAAGACTATAGGAAAAGAAGATCTCATGATCTATTATAAATGGCTAAATTGACTTTGCGTGGTAGAGCCATGCTGCTGCTATATTACTGGTATAGTTATAGCACGAATGGGTCGGCCCGACCGGGGAATGACCACGCTCTCACAGAATACCAGGGTAAAATAGCAGCGTAACGCTGCTGTGTTTTGTATGATGAGTGTAGAGAACCGGAGACCCTTTTTACTGGAAACGAGGCATTCCATCTTAGTCCTCACGGGTGACGACGCATCTGCATTTTGATTCGTAATCGAGGATGGATGTAGATATCTATGGGCCGCAGCAACCACTTACTATCAGGTGGACTGTGTGCTCGTTTGTCACCCTTATCCTATAAAAAATATATATTCTCATATATTCTCATTAGCTATACGACGTGTACCAAAGAGTATAGTAACTGTCCTATACAGGAAGACGTGTACCGTCACTTGTATCATGATGTTTCATTCTACGTTCAATCCATCTGCTTAACTTGACGATTGACTGTCACAGATTTAGTGGAGGAAAGTGTATCTATAGGTTATAAAAAAAAAGTGAAGTAAATCCTATTTTATCCGTGGATAATAAGCAATATTTTGTTTTTTAATCAGATATATTTTGTAATGGTTTTCTAGCGTAGCCTGGTGTGCGATTTTATTTAATACATAGAATTAGATAAGAACCATCAACAAAAACATGCTCAATTTGTTTTTGTATTATAATATAAAATTTAGGAAATGTATCGATAATCGTCATTTCGATCCATCGATGTTTATATTTCGTCCATCATAGCCACGCTATTTCTGTTTCAACCTGACTCTCACTCTCTCTGACTAGTATACAGCCCGTCAGGGTACATGTGTTCTGTGTATACAGTTATCTGTGGTTTCAAAAGTCAAAACAAAGTTATATACATATATATAGCAAAATTGAAAATGCCTGGTGCCGTGTGTGAAATTATTGATGATATTGAAGATTTAATATCTTCTCAGGATATTACACCCAAAGAAAGATATGCTAGCAGAAAGAATGTTAGTGTAAGATCCAAAAAACGAGAAAATGTCAAAGAAAATGAACCTGTTGAGAAGATAGTGCTTGAAAGTGTTGTACCAGGTAACCTATAATTTGTCTATTTTTATTTTAAATCATGTTAATTCTGCAAAGATTTTCTCATAACAAAACATATTACAAATAAAATATTGGTATTTTAGTTTTGTACACATGGCTTTGTCGTTTGTTCTTTAAATAATAAGAGGCAACTTCACAACCACACAGTATTTTTCAATATTTATTATGATAATCCAACCACAATGATAAATCCGATTTTGCTAAATAACTACTGCTTATTAAAAGTTGATTTCAGTAAAGAATTATCAATATACCAAAGGCATAAACAAAATGATTTGTTTTATATTATATGTTCCTAATAGTATTTTATTAAAGTTGAAGAAAATGTGAATTTTATTTATTTGGCATTGAGCTTGATAAACTAAACTAAAATAACCACAAAAGTTTCCTGGCTTAAATGCATAGCTGTGTTTTGGTAGAATATGTAAAATTATTCTGTTTTTTTAAAGTTGTTAGTTAATTACTGGGCATTTAACAACAGATTAGTAAAATACTTGTATATCTATAAGTTATATGACATTTGATAGGAACTTTAGTATGTGGTAGAGCCACACTTTAGCTATATTATGGTTGTAGCATGAACAAGTCGGTTTGACCTCGATAGAACTATGCTCTCACAGAATACCAGTGTAAAATGTAGCTTAATGCTGCTTTGTATTGTATGGTGAGTGTAGAGAAGCGGATACCCTTTTTCTGGAAACGTGGCGTTCCATCTTAGTCATCAGGGGTGATAACGTATAACCAACTTCAAAAAATGATGAGGTACTCAATTCATCTTTATTTTTTATTTGAAAGTTTATGTGAAACTTTTCATGTGGTCCCATAAAGATCAAGATGTGACCAGTAGTTTTTGAGTTATCCTTAATAATCCATATTTAATTAACTTCAACTACATTGATGTTCTCATTTTATTTATATTGAAGTTTGTTGTACAAACATTTTTATTTTACCATTTGTGTTTTTAATTGAGGATAAAAGTATATCTATGGGCCACAGCATCCACTTACCATCAGGTGGACTTTGTGCTTGTTTGTCACCCCTACTCTATAAAAAAACTGGAGATAATTAATGAAATGAATGAATGAATGTTGGTGAATTTATCACTTAGAAGCAATCTCTAAGGCTATCATTTTGCAGAGGATATCATTATATCCTCTGCAAAATGATCCATTGATGAATGATATGAACTATCAAAGGTGAAATGAATTTCATCATCACATTTCTTTCCATCGGTGTTGTAAAGGGCATCATCATTATCATCAACATTACAGCCCTTCACAAATCCACTGCTGAACATAGGTCTCCCCCAAAGAATACCACAAAGCACGGTCTTGAGCCACCTGCATCCATCAACTTCCTGCATATCTTACCAGGACGTCACTCCATCTAGGGGGACACCCTACACTTCGTCCGTCGGTACGAGGCCACCACTAGAGAACCTTTTTTTATGTAAAGGGCAGCTATGGGAGAATCCAAAACACCTTATGACTCCCAATATATGGCGGCATTAAACATGTTGCTTAGGTCAGATGTGGTAGCATCAAAGGTTTGAGAAGATTAAGGCAAATTCTCCTAACAAAGGGAACCACCCATTTCGTGCTATAGACTTTAATGGGTTAAAGAAGAGTAAGATTATGTTATGACATATCAAAGTTCATTAAATGTTTTCATTTTTATATTTATTGTTGTTAAATTTTTAACACCCAACAAAAACAGCGGGGTGTTATAAGTTTTGAGTTTGTAGTGTGTATCTGTGTGTCTGCCTGTAGCATAACAGCTCCTGAACGGATGAACTCATTTTGATTAAGTTTTTCTTCGTTTGAAAGGTGAAGAAAATCTGTTCAGCCGTTTGAAGATGAGTTGCTATTAGGAAGATGTTGCTGCCCATCACCTGGTTTGTTTCCCTCTGTCGCCTATTGACAGAACGATATATACATATTTGCATATAGATATATACATATTCACATATAGATCTATACATATTCGCCTAGCCACAGAACTATATGGGGTAGTGGATATTCTTACACTGTTTAGTGACAGTGTATACCATTCCTATATTGGCATTTATACTAGAGATGAAACGGATATCCGGTAACTATCCGGTATCCGGCCTATTCAGCCCAAATTACTATCCGGATACCGGATAAAAAAATACAAAATATCAAATTTAGTTAAGTACCTACTTTATTTATGTCACTTAACAAATAGAATCAGTAATCACAAAATTTTCATTTTAAATCTTAGAAATTTAGTACTCGTACTGCACTAAGGGCAAATTATGGAGAATAAATACTAGTCTCTCTGCATTGAAAGGTAACAAGCGGTTTCGCCTGTCTTCATAATAAACATGGCCAGCTTCAGAAAAAAGTCTTTCGCTGTACACACTGCTGCAGGGTGCTGAAAGATAGATTTTGGCAAACTTTGATAAATTAGGATATTGTGTAGCATTAGCTGCCCACCAAATATAAGGGTCACAATCGCGAGCAATTCGCACTGACTTTAGATACAAATCAATTTCACATGAAATTGCGTTTGTCATGGTGAGACTGGCTAGTATTATTTTCATTTCCTACTTCATTGAAGCAATCCCAGAACGTGTAATGAGTTTTGCGAGATGCAGCTGACTCTGTCTCCTCTCCTCTACTTTTTTTAGCCGGTGTTGACGATGAACGGGAGGACTCTTCGCTAGACATTTTTAAGTACTCCAGTAGAATTTCCTGGCAAGCTCTTTCACCTTCAACCACATGAAATTTTAACATTGCATAGTAAACAAACAGCAAGCTTAGGATCATCACTGTCTATATCAAAATGTTCCCATAAAAGCGATCTTTTATTTATCGATGTCATTTTGTCGTTAAATCTGTTAAAAATTATAAGAATCAAATAACAAAGCACGTATTTTAATAACCTCGAACGATCGTGTTTCCAACCAATAGAAGTAAATGAACCAATTGCTAACTTCGCTCATGAACGAAAAAACCCGAAGTCGCCCGAGTACCGCATGCACACGATCACCACCACTAGTGCCACCTACGCAACTTTGCTGCTTGCAATGCACTAAACGGCAATGTTCGGCCGAATATCCGGCGGCCGGATATCCGGCTATCCGGCGATAAGACTGACCGAATATCCGGCCAAACAGCTATCCGTTTCATCTCCAATTTATACCCCGAAATGTAAATTTATCATGCATATGTAATGAATGAATTTTACAGGAACACAAACAATCTATGTCAAGACATGGGGCTGCGCTCACAACAACTCAGATTCAGAGTACATGGCTGGGCTGCTAGCGGCACATGGTTACCGACTCACGGAGGATAAATGGCAGGCACAGCTGTGGCTGCTCAACTCTTGCACAGTTAAGAGTCCAGCTGAAGATCATTTCAAGTGTGTAAAACCATTTGACCATTGTGAATTATTGATGAGAAAGCTCACAGTTATTTAGCAACAAATGGAGCTAGCCTAGAAATGGTAGGGTGTAGACCGCAAACTCAAAGGTTGTGGGTTCGAAACTATTCGATTACTGTTGTGAAGCACTCTTAACACAAACATTGTAAGCTTACCTGGAGTGCTCAACGAGATTATTTAGTAATGGTATTAGTTTTTTTAGTATTGTTAATTTAAAAAAAAAACCTATCCTACCCTACTGACCTACCCATATTTGGGTTTACTAAATTATAAATTCCATAATGAGAACATCTTTACATCAACAAGAGCTATTGGCACAGCCTAACGGATCAATCACTTGAAGTGGCAAAGGCATGGTTATACAGCTCGAAGGACTTGTAACCAATGAAAGTTAGAAGTTACAGCCTATATAATGCCTTTCATTTTCTTAGAAGGTTATGGATCACTTTGCAGTTGTGCTGCTCCAGTGTGTATTGGCAGACTTCATAAATGCTTGTTTGCTACCTTCAAGATTCTTCAAAATGCTTCACCACCGGTAATGTGGTAAATAAACACTTGAAATTGAAATTAAAATTTTGATTGGTAATGGCTAGCTATTAAATTCTTAAGCATCAGTCTTCTAATAGTGCAAATGTAGGGCCATCAAAGCTAGGGGAGGGAGTGACAACCTGAAGAAAAATGCTAAGAGTTAATGCAGGTAGTTGACCTTGTTTTATGAAAATCTAAATGTGGGACTGATATTCAGTATTGGATTTGTGAGGATTTTATTGTAATGGCTGGACTCTGGCAGCGACAAAAGAAGGAGGCTGCATGTATTTTGTCACACCTGAAATGTTTTTTTTATTGGGAATTGCCTATGCATATTCGCCTCGAAAGGGCGGGTTAAATCAGACTCGCATCCCATGGTGTTCCACCTTCGCAGCATATTGACAGCCTAGACGCCTCCTGGTATGGCTTTCTATATGTTCATAAAGTTTCATGAGAATCGGTTTAGCCCATTTTTATTTACGTTTTAATTTTTCTACTCTTAATAATATCCGTAATTTGGTTTATTAATTTCTTCATTAACATAATATATCTAATACTAATATTATGTTAATTTTTTACCATAATTATCGACTGCTTCTGTACGTAATAATAGGCCAATTAACAGACAAGTATTATGTACGAAAATTAAATTGTATTTTATTTTTAGTATTGTAATATATAATATAGCTTGCAATTCATATAAAAACCTTTAAATATGGGTAATGTAAAGAGCAGTGGTAGCGCGGAGAATTAGAATTTCATTAGTATGTGAGCACCCTAACTTTAATCCCCTCTGGCACCAATAAAATTGTCATTTGTATTTTTAAGAGTTAGTTTGCTACATGTTTAATGATAAAGGAAAACATTTTGAGGAATCCATCCATCCATAAAGGAAAACCTAATATAAAATACATCCAAAATACATATAAATATCCACTACCTTTAATATTGCCATTTAAAAACATCTCTAAATTATTTAACATGGTAAAGTCCCGCTGCAGCCCTTTTATGGCTGCAGAAATAGGTTGACATAGCAGGGTAAGGACCACACTCCCACAGGATACTAGCATAATATTTTATTTATTTATTGCCTTTGTGTCCCAAAAAAAGAATTACTTAAACTTAAATATATCAAAAAAATTAATTTACATTTATAAAACTAATCATGCTTCAAAGAAATCTTCAACAAACCTTTAGATATAAAATTAGCCAGAATTTAGAATAAATTTTATAAATTATGCTTAATAAATCGAGTTAAATAGGTGTTGTAATTAGATTTCACTATAGGGATATTCACTTAACATCGATATATCGAATTTATTCGATGTTTTCCGAACAATATATCTGATTGATTCGATATTTTGACAAATATTTATGGTATTCGATGTATCGACATATTTATTGATAGAAACATCGAATATTTGCTTTTTATTTTTTTGTCGAATCAATTAAAAAACTAAATAATTTTAACACTACTTGATGACTTCAATTTTAAGTAAGGTTCTTTAAGATAGTGATATCTGTGAGTGACCAGCTTAATTACCAAATCTATGCTGACAGATCGATCGACCATTCACTCTCGATGTATGTAGTCTGTGGATTGTATAGGTTCATTACATTTACTTTCATTCACTCACTCTCTTCTTGCGTCGTCTTCTGCTGTTTGGCGGTAACGATTTAATTAATCATTGTTTTGATTGTTTATCTAAGACAAGTTTATGTAAAACTTTTACTTGCTACTTTGGTCTCTGATTCTACATTCACACATACAAAATCAAGGACCACAAACTTTGCGCGTTTCACTGGAAAAAGGTAATATTAAACTTTTGTGGAAAGTATTCGATAGTGAAAAAATATCGATATTTTCTAACGATATATCGATAAATATCGATGCTGGGATCCGATGTTTTACGTCGAATATAAATATCGATATATTTTTTAAGTGGACACCCCTATTTCACTATGTAACAACGCGTGACAATTTGCGGGGTGAGGGGATGTTAAGCCCAGGCCACTTAACTATCTACTAAAACTACTACTCGAATCGTTACATATCAATGTTGCCATATAGTTTAGCTACCTTGACGATAGATGGCGGTCTGTTCACAAAATTATTATAAAAACTATAAAAATAATATTTTGGCGATTAAAAATTCTTTAGGACTGAATGCAAATCAAATTTCAGCACCTTCGTATGATTATTTTATTAATACTGAGCTCTACGTAGCTTTATATTTTTAGTTCATATGACACAAAGTGTCGCCATCTAATGCCGAGTATATTTAAATATATTTGAAAGCCGACGCAAAGAGATTTTTTTAGAACTATTTTAATAAATTAAGTGTAAAATTAGTTACAAATAAAATGTGATGCAATCCATAGCACCAGAGCGTCTATCTGAGTAGTTTTTACACGATAAAACACAACACTTCATCCTTTTCTTCTTAGTACTACGAAAATACACCGATTTGCGATTTTCAACACAAAAGCGCACAGGACGAATGCTGACAGTATACTAACTAAAGCCACGCCCACTATGATGAAGTCAGGACTTACATACAATCACAGTGCACAGTTACTTATGCCGTCTCCTCTTTATATTTGCTTCATGGTTAAATAATATCATTACAAATCAAATATCAATTAACTACATTTTTTAATTATCACATATAAAAATAAAATGATATTACACAAAAAATTTTTTTTTAAATCAATTAATAATAATAATAAAATATGTAATGGTTAATTACTACATGTTATGAAAATCAATTTACAGCAGATGAGTTATGATAATATTCAAATTATTACTTTTTTACTAAGCATTGATATTTTTTATTTATTTGGGTACCCATTTGCGGGTGAAGGGCTCCTCCATCTTTTGCCATTTTCATTTATCTTGTGTGAGTCTCGTCCAGGTGTGGCCAACTGTGGCATAATATACTTACTAATATATATTTACATAAAATATTTACTTCATTTAAAATATAACTAATATTAGATTACTAATATTGTTACGCGCCACTATTAATGTCTTGTACATGGCAACACTAGTTACACTAGCGCCCCCTAGTGTCGAGTAAATGAAAGTATTGCGCGCCACTATTAATGTCTTGTACATGGCAACACTAGTCACACTAGAGCCCTCTAGTGTCGAGTAGCAGAACTAGGAGAGTCGAGATCCTTCCAGAAATTTCGGGACCGATATGTACTCGAACATTCTAGATGTCGCTACAGTAGAAGGTTCTGGAAACTATCTGAGGCCCTATATAAGACCGGTATAGACCACGACCGGGGCAGTATTGAATTGGCGATACAAGAGAATACTTCGTAGCGAAATAACGGCGAACTGTGTTTTATTATTAGTGTGATTTTAGATTGTAATTAGTGTTGTGTAATTAAAGTGTCAATTTTGGTAATTCAATCGGCAGTTTTTAATTGTCTCGAACCCCAAGCTCGTAACAATTGGTGTCAGAAGTGGGATCAAATATGCCGATTTTACCGAAAGACGACACGGAGGGTATCCGTACCCGAAGTCAACGCCAACAGGAGACGGACCAGAGACGATTTGGTAATGCAACGCCGCAAACGTCGGAGGGCCAGTTGCTAACCACGGAGGCTGGCCCGTCAGCAGCTCCTGCATCTGCAGCACCTGACTTGGGTGCTCTGATGATGATGCTGCAGGATCAGGCTCGCCGACAGGAGGAACAGGCCCGCCGACAGGAGGAACAGGCCCGCCGACAGGAGGAACAGACCCGTCGGCTGGAAGAGCAGCTGCAGCGCGGTATGGAAGAACTGATGCTCCTCAGGAAGGACCTTCACGCTACCTTCGGGAAAGAGATAAAGGAGGTGAAGGATAGGGTTGCTCAACATGACAACCGCCAGTCGGAAGCTGAAACCCGAATCGACCAAGTGAACAATCGGGTTGACAACGTGATGGCTGATGTGAAGAAAACGCTGGACGACCTCAAACTTGGGGATGGAATCACAGCTCCCGTGGTAGCTACAACACCTTCGCTACGTGGATTCAAAGTGCCGCCGTTCGACGGGAGTTCTTCCTGGTCGGCCTACAAAATCCAGTTCGAGGCTGTCATGAAAGCGAACGGCTGGAATAAAAGTCAGGCCATGACTGCTCTCACCCTAGGCCTACGCGACCAGGCCTTAACTGTTTTGGAAGCGCTCGGTAAGGAAGTGACTTACGAGCAGCTCCTTGAGGCATTGGAGGCGAGATATGGCGATGCTCACCTGGAATACGTCTTTCGTGCGCAGCTCAAAGATCGCGTGCAACGCAGTAACGAAAACCTGCAGCAGTGGGCCCTTGAGGTGGAGAAGCTGGTTCGAAAAGCGTACCAGTCTGTACCTGCGCTCATTGTAGGGAACCTGGTGCAGACATTCATCGACGGCATCCGCGACCTTGAAGTCAGAGCTGCTGTGAGGCTCGGGCACCACGAGAC